TACGTTAGCAGAAGTCTTTAGTTTAAGAGATGATTTTGAACAGAATTAAAAGAATAGTTAAAGAAACTAATATTGATCAAGAACTAATGGAAGTAATCAACGATATAAGGATTCATGAGCAGATAAAGAACAAAACGTATAAAAATATGGTATTGGAATTGAGTTTAATCAAAGGTTGCCTTTTTAAAGAGAATAGGATCATAATACCGAAAGGTATGAGAAAAGAGATTTTGCAAGAGTTGCATAATGGGCATCTCGGTGCTGGAAAAACAAAATCATTAGCGAGAGAGTATCTGTGGTGGCCTGGTTTAAATGCAGAAATAGATCAGGAGGTAAAGAATTGCGATGAATACGCAGACAATCCTCATAATATTCAAAACCCATGGGAAACAGCAACGAAAGTATTCGAGCGCGTACACATAGACTTTGCAGAGTTCAAAGATAATAATTTTATGGTATGTGTTGACGCCTTCAGCAAATTTCCTATTATTAGGAGAATGAGAAACACAACTACGGAATCAACGATTAAAGAATTGATGAAAATAATAAGTTTATTTGGTATACCTAATAGAATAGTCAGTGATAATGGAACTAACTTTACCAGTAAATTATTTAAGAATGCGAAGATCACGAAATCGAACACTTACTCACCGCACCTCACCACCAACAGTCTAATGGCCAATGTGAGCGTATGATTAGATCAATGAAAATGAATATGAAAAGGAATATGGAAAATAATAATAAAATAGACGTAGACATAGCTCTAGAAAAGTTTCTTTTTAATTATCGTAATACACCCAACGCAACGACTAACAAAATACCAAGCGAAGTAATGTTCTCCAGAATGATTAGGACAAAATGGGAGTTGATAAAACCGAGGGATGAAAGAGATCATATACTAAATCGCAAGATATCAATAGAGAGGGATATAGAAATAGGAGACAGCATATGGTATAAAACTTTTAAAGATAATAATTGGGAAAAAGTTACAATAATGCGCAAAAACGGAAATTTGTTGTATGATATAGATACTGGGAACAAAATTATAAAAAGACACTTGGACCAAATAAAAAAAAGATCAACTAATGTAGAACTTTCTTCTAATGGTGCAACAGTTTTTAAAGCGAATGTTAATAATAATGCATCACCTTATACATTGAATTTTAGAAGGGGAGGTGATGAACCAAGAAACCAAAATGTACAAGTGAATGATCAGAATCGCAACGTTCAAAGACCAGTTAGAAATAGTGTGTTACCTAGAAAATTTGAAAATTTTATAATGAATTAAATTTGATAATAAATTTTTTTTTTCTCTTCCTTATATTAAAACAAAATTAGTTTTTTTGTGGGTGGAACTAAATAGATAAAACGTACAACAAAAAAAGATCAACGAAGGGGTTAACGAGCAAGAATGACAAACGACAAAATTATAGACAGAAGGCAAATAAAAAAAAAAAAGTGTGAAATGTTAAACAGTGACACTCATGTATTTTATCTTAACTTTAAAAAATTGTTTTGTTAAACAGTGACACTCATGTATTTTATCTTAACTTTAAAAAATTGTTTTTTTTTTACATCCTTAAGCTATTTATTAACTTAATATATTTCAAATGTAATAAGAATTGTTTCTTTCTTTTTGTTAAAAACAACTTTTATATTTTAAAAATCAATTTGTTTATAAACTAATATTAAATTTTATATTTTATAAATCAATTTACTTAATAAACTAATGTTCAATTTTTTATTTTAACTTTAAAAAAAAAGATCAATTTATTATAAACTACATTAAATTAAATTGTCAATATATATAGGAAACTATTTTGAATTATATGATTAAATTTTTTAAATTTAAATATCAATAAATTGACGTAATATACATTTATAACATTTGATCTCTGCCTTTGATTTCTGCAACCTTTTCAATATCAATATAAAATATTACTTTGTATAATTGCGGATACTTTCTCCTGTAAGGTTGGGGTAGCATGATGGTATGGATATGAGGTTGTAGCAGTATCTATAAATTTTAGAATATTTTTAATTTTCTATTAGATTTGAGTTATTTTAATCTATTTTTTAAAAATGGCTCATAAATATTAAATGATAGGAAACGTTAGATGACGTGTTCTATCACTAATACCAAAAAATGGGGGCACCTAGCTTTAGCTGCTTTTTTAATATGCATATAAATAATTATCATGGCATCGCTTTTTTTCATGTAACCTGTCATTTGAAAGCAGTATGATAATATGACAGACCCTTTAATTATTTTAGTTAAACTCAAGATTATTAGGCGGTAGACATAGAAAGGGTCATAAGTACATTTACTCATCTCAGAGCAAAGAATATAAAAATATTGTATAAAAGTATTCGTCATATAATCATATGCCGATAATTTATAAGCCCAACGTAATAATCTTTGGTTTGTTAATGAGCTTAAATCTCTGTTATCACCCTATATTTTTATTAAAGGTTTAATAAGTACAGCTCTAAATTCTTGGTTAAACTTGTTTTATATGTTCAGTATCATTTTTCCCTGTGATTATAACATCATCTAAATAAACTGCTGTATCTTTACAATCAGCCAGTAAATCGTCCATATATCGTTTAAATATTATTGGTGCGGTAGCTATACCAAAATGTAATCGTAAATAGCGGTATTATTCCTTTTGTTAATAATTCTTGCGATTCATTGTCAATGCTCATTTGTAAATATGCATCTTTGTTCCATATTTATTTCCATTAGCAAATTTTTGTGATTTATTCTCCAAACGTTGGTAGAATGTGATAGTCTTTTAGTAGAAATTTATTTAATGTTACTTGAAATCTCCATATAATCGTAGTTCACCTGAAGTTTTAGGTACCACTACCATTGGAGTACTCCAGGTTACTCGTGTTGTTGATGGACTATTTTCTTTATTATATTCACGTTACCATTATCATTATATTTATATCTATTGTTGCTCATATTGTTATTTACAATTGTTGGTAACAATAAGTCAAATTCTATAATAATCGGAAATCCAAATAGGCTGTATCAATCACGATAAGTCAAATTCTATAATCCACGGAAATCCAAATAGGCTGTATCAATCATTTTGATAGTGCCCTTTATTATTATCATAAATTTTATAATCCACGGAAATCTAAATAGGGCTGTGTTGCATTATTCTAATTTTATTATTTATTACAATATAAATTTTATTTTTTGTTATAATCTAATTTTATTTTATAAACGGCGTAACCTTACTTTTTTAATATTATTTTACTGTATTTCGTTTTATTTTCTAATTTATATTTTAGAAAATATATATATACCTTAAGAAAAGTAAAAGAAGTTAGTTAATAAAATATATTTTTACTGACTCGAACCTCGCACCATATCGTTAGTGTCTTTATTCTTTGCAGGCTGCTTCAATCATTTTGATAGTGGTATTTATTTCTAAGTCAGCCCGCTCCATCGCTAGAGTTAATTCTACAGCTTTGTTTAAGCTTAAAGGTTGGTCTTCGTCTTTAGTATCTGGGTATCATAAACGTAGTTCTTTATCTAGTTGTGACATCTTTAGCACGGCGATTAATTGATCGCGAATTCTTAGTTCTAATTATCTTCAAAATCGCATCTTCGGGCTAGCTCCTTTATATTTTTTAAATAGCTCATTACGGATTCAATAGGGCCGCGACTTAATCTAATGAAATCAATTCTAGATGCCAAAACAGTTCTTTTATCAAGTTGTTTTGCAATTTTGTATATGTCTATCCTTTCTACCTCCTCCATTTTCTTTGGGTAGAGTAATTTTTTTTTATCAGTTTTAATATTTATTCCTCCATAAGCTTCAGTATATATTTTATGTGTCTATAGTCGTCAATAGAACATTCATATTTTTCACATTCAGTATGTGTTTATATAGTCGTTAAAAGAACATTCATATTTTTCGCATTCAGTATGTATTTTATATAGTCTATAGTCGTCAATAGAACATATTCATCTTTTATCCATAATTTCTAAACAAATCTATTATTTATTTATTTATTTTATAAATAGAAAAAAAATTTTTATAATTCTATATAACATTTAACTTGACCGAAGACCATCGTCTACATGAGCGGGAGGGGTAGGAACAGTTTGCATCCTATTTTTTTGAGGGGGGTAGGGTAGGCTGCTTTAATGGTGGTAAGATAAATTTTTTGAAATTTTGGGATAAAATAGGACAAAATTTATTGCTGTAAAAATTAATACTTTTAGAATAGAATTATTATAATACAATTCATCGACCAAATCTATATATTGCAAACAATCATACAGATTGTTTTCCAAATAAAACTTTCTGCTATCATTTCAGCAAGCTCATAATGCCATAATAATTAAATCATTGTAAATAATGGAGGTTTTAATTGAATTTATTATCAAAAAAATAAATTATTTATATTCACAAAATATCGATAGTTGGTAGTAGAGATAGATTAATTTAAGTTATCCTTTATAAATTTTCTGAAAAGAGTATCAATAAATTTAAAAGGTAAAATAATAATTGGGAGACACCGCCGCCGAAGTCGTCAATTTTTTTAGGGGGGTAGGCAAAGGTTTTGTAGGGGGGTTGCATCCAGTGAAAATCCTGTCATGTAGATGCTGCCGAAGACCAAAAACCGCGTGACTTTTTTTACTTCGTCACCGAATATTATATCGATTAATGTTTAAAACAATAATAAATTTTATTTGTAATTCTTTTGTTTATATACATTTATATTATCCAATTTAACTTCTAATAATATGCATGATTAACCTCAATAATATATTATTAAATGTCGGAAAGTTATAATAATATAATAACAAATAACATCCTTTTAAAATATATAACGTAACCACGATATTCAAATATAACAATACTATAAAATATTATAAAGGATTTAAAAAAATATTTGTTCACATCTTAAAAACAGATCCTTTTTGTTAGATAATGATTGACATGCATTTGTTTTCGGTAAACAACACATTTAATATATTTATATAAAAGTATTATTTTGAATTTTGTATCATTTGCTTTTGTTAATCATTATCCTTATTTCAAATGACTGCTAATGAATATTTACAAAAAGTAATTTAAAAAATCTATAAAATTAACTTTCTTTAATTAGATCGTATTAGCAATTCAAGGATCTGATGGTGAATTATTATCGGTAATATAGTTGTTATTTAAATCATTTTTATTATATGTAATTTTCATATACATAATACATTAATATTTGTTTATAACTTATTTAAATTAAAATATATAGATGCTGTTATCCTTAACACATCAAGAAAACTTCATATATATAGATGATCAAACGATATATGAATGTGAATATTTAGGGGAACCATACAAAGAAATTATTCCATTGTATATAAAGTAAATAAATATTATATTATTTGCTGAACAAATCATGTAAAGGTGTGTAAAGTCTCTTAAAAATTTAGATTTTTTACAGGCATTTGATTACCAGACAAACTTAATACAATTTTTTATCAAATATCTTCAAAATAAAAATGATGAAAATTGGATGCTGCCTATTATGTATCAAATCTGTTTAGATTTGAGAAAGTTGGCCTCTAAAGTATTAAAGAATTATCTTTTAATAAATAATCTTTTATATTTATTTAAGATTGAAGCTGAAAGTATTAAGAGTGGCGCTCCTAAGCATGGGTTGTACTTGGAGAAAGCATCTGATACTCTATTAGGTTGTTTTCGTGTATGTGCCACAGACAAGTTATTTCTTAGCATCAGCCTGATAATCTTATCAATTAAAACACTTATATGTTATCATTTTTGAATCCATTATTAAATATTATTGCAAAAATTTTGAACTACTAAATTTTATGAACCTATACTAAGTTGTTAAATATTCAAACTTAACATTTTAGACTGTTAAAATATGAAAAATATAAGCTTAGTTGGTACTTGGCCCTAGTTTCAGAATAGATACCTCTAGAAGTTCCTAAATTTTATGTCATAATTATATAATTTTAAGATTATAAATTTTGGCTTGTTAAAAAAATTAAATTATCCTTAATATGAATATTTTTTAACTATTGAAATGAAACAAAATTTATAATGGATTCAACATTCTATTTTAACTATTTAAATAAATATTAATCTTATTTTCTGAAGCTTTTCTTCTGCTCAATACTCAAAAAAATGGGGTATGTTATATCTGGTCAATCAACTTTTTAAGATATACTTCAAGGTAAAATTTTAGTTATAAATGTTTCTATTTTCATAAATATTGGGTTTTCATTTCTAAGATTAACAGATTACCTCTCTGTAAGCCTCTGATAAGAGCTGTGGAAAATTCAAAAAGCTTGGAAAATTATCCATTATCTCAAATTGTTACATACAAGTAAATTATATTACAATACAATTATAATATATATTTTTATGCATTCACTAGTTTTCAGAGTTATTAAGTATTTAAAAAATCTTGTTGTTTGGCTAATTGCCTATCAATAATTTAAAAAAATATTCAAAGTACTTTTGTTATTGACTGATACTTTTAAATATTGATCTCTTATGACATATAAACATTTTTTAATAAATATATTGGATCTATTATATCTATATTCCCACCTTTTCATTAAATTGATCATATTCTGAATTATGTCTGTCCCACTGTTATGTAGCAGAAGCAAAAATGGTACCTATATCATAATAGAGTATTCTTCAGAGATGTTACTACTTTTTGAAATTTTAAGTTTTTAAATCATCAGGTGCTCATAAAAATTATACAAAAAAAAAGAAAAAGACTAAATTGATATTTTTGTTTTATTTATATTATTTGAAACCAGAACCATATTTTTAATAATTATTGAACCAGAACTTATTTAGTCCAAGGTTTACAGATAAAATGGTATCAATTGATCGAAATTAAAAAACATATTTGTGAGTTTGGGTAAGACCATGCTAAGGCTTTCTTGCATTTGAGAAATTGAGCATTGGTAGTAATTGTAAAAAATCTATAAATATGTTATAGATTATACATATATTATAATAATACCAATTATTTTTTTAAAAAATATGGTGAATCGAAATTGATACAACTACTAAAATTTAATGTACAAATACAATTCTTGCATATATTTTTGCAACGAACGATTTTTGGGTTAAAACGATGTCATAAGTTTGGAAGAATACTTTACAGAGACAGGTTATAAATCGAGTTAAATTTAATAAAGTATAATATATAATATTAGCAAAAAAAGAAATATAGATTGACCTAAAAGTGGCTCATTGGGAAAAATATATGCATTGTTATATTCGGTAGTTTAAAAGAATTGGGAACTGATTATTTTTTTAAAGTATCAATTTTTTTAAACAACGGTATAGTTATACTTCATAAAGTTTACTAATGAAAGATAATGTGATTTTTAAAAAAAATTCTTCCTTATTGGTGATTAGGGTTTTCAGGTTTACTCAGACAAACTAGTTTCCCCTCTGATCCCTTTTCTCCACTTTTTACGATCCTGGGCGTGGCTATTTGTAGGATTTATTTTTCCTATGCTGCCTTTATCATCTTCACCCACGCCTTCATAGGTCTTCCTCGAGATATCCCATTGCTTCCAACGAAGTAATGGGATCAAGATCTTGAGGTATTATAATTTTTTGCTAAGTTTTAGATAATAAATTATTTTATATTTATTTTAAAAGGTTCTATGTTGGACGCAAAGCTTTTTATGATTTGGATTATGAAAAAGGTATTCAAAATAAAGTTACAATAATTTTACTTTTTTATAAATTGAAAGGAAAAAAGGCATAATGATAATGAAACATTTTTTATATACAAGGGCTTCCGTTTTAGAACAAAAACTCACATTATGAGAGTACAAAATAATGTAGATGACATTTTTTTAAAATATTTAATCCCATTTTTATTCGAACATCATGGAAAAAATCTATGAAAAAATGCCGATACCTCTATTTTTGCCGTTCTTTCAGATTAAAAATATATAAATAAATATTTTGGATAATCTTTTTTCTCTTTCTTATTAAAATTTTAATTATCAAAATAATAAATTTAAATGGTTTTATAAAATCCTGTATACTTAAAATTATATTATAAATAGTGCATGAACCTCTTTTAAAATGTTACAATCAACTCAAATCGCTATGTTCGAGGCAACTATCTTAGTCTCCTGATCTCAATGAGAGCCTTTTTTTGCTCCCCCCCTACCCTCTCTTTAAAAAAAATTTTTTTTTTCTTTTTAAAATTTATTAAGTTATTTTTTTTATATGACAATTTAAATTTTTTTTAAAAAAAGTTATGTATATATATCCTATTTTTTTAAATAAAGAGATGATATATATCAAAAAAAATTTATAAATATATTTAATTTCTATTAGGACACTTCCTATTTTAATTTTAAATTATTATTTTTTATGCTTATAGTATATAGTGACCTGATGATTGAATTTTTTTAAAAAAAACGATTGCCAAAATTTATCTTAAACATTTACCTTCAGATTTGTTTTTAGTTCCTTAAATATTTTCCAAAAAATATAAGGAAAATTCATCTATGTAAAAATTTAATAAAAGCTGATAAATTTTTTTTCTATAATACGAAATTAATTTTTTAAAAAAATGCTCTTTGTTAGGGGAATTGACAATTTTAATATTAATTTTATCTGATATACGAATTGAAAAGTTATAAATATTAATAAAACCTTATTTGATTTAAAAAAAATATAATAATAAAAAAATAGTTTAAATGGAATAGAATATGATATGTAAAAGTTGTAACATAGTAACCATCTCCACGAAATATCAACGTAGGATAGATGAATTATAGATGTTTAGATGGCAGATTTAACTGCAAAACTGGTTTTTTATCAAAAAAACTATACTAAAAATAAAATAACTTCTTACTAACCATTAGCAATTATTAAACGTTGAAAATGTATCGACACCTTCAAATTAATCTAATTACTTGCTTGCTAGGTTCGATTTATTAGATCTGCTATTGGTCTTTTGGATTCTATTGGCCATTTTCGTAATATTACTCGTATGTATAGTGTTCAAGTATTTCAGAGGGGAAAAAGGTAAAGATTCAGGTAATAAGGTAGACCATTCTCACCATAAAGATGATAAACGTAATGGCAAATAGCCTCTCTAAGAGAAATACAGAAAATTGAAGATATGCTACTAGCTAATCCTGAAGAAGAAAAGTTAGGCAAACCTATATCTTATCCCAAATAAAGCGGTAAGATGTTGTAAATAATAATATTTTTTTAAAATAATATTTTGAATATTTTTTTTTTGTGTTGTAAAAATAAAAAGAAAATAATCAATATTCGATACAAAAAAAATATTAATATTCGTTTTGTTTAATATATAATAAAGAATTATTTTATCTGAGTTTAGCATTCGCAACAATTTATATTCATTAGCAGTCGATTTTATTTTTTATTTTTACAACACAAAAAAAAAATATTAAACAATATTATTTACAACATCTTACCTCTTTATTTGGGATAAGATATAGGTTTGCCTAACTTTTCTTCGATTAGTTAGTAGCATATCTTCAATTTTCTGTATTTCTCTTAGAGAGGCTTCAGCTTCTGATGTAGGATAATGAACCCTAGCTCTCGATCCCGTGGAAAAAATCGTTCGGGGATTATTCGGATATTGGTCTCACAAAATTATTCGTGTTGGTATTTGAGATGTTTCCCTTTGCTACGAAATTCAGAACTCTCCATACCCTTTTTTTTGGTAAAGGTCCATAGTTTGCTTGACAGTCTACAATCTTGTGCCCCAACCTTCCACACAAAAAGCATTGAATATTGCTTATGGGAGTTTGCGATCGTTCTCTCATAGCATATTGAGTAAAATTTTCTTCTTCTCCCATCACCATTGTATTATAATTGTTTGTTGAAGGTAAGGTGTACGGAGCCCCTCGTCCATTTATTGCAAATTGAGGCTTAGGTGTAATCATTTGTTGTACCAACTATCTATCCAACCAAGCATCGGCTAAAGCACTTCCTAGATTAGCTTGGTTCACTTGAATTACGGATTGTGAAGTTTTAATATAGAAAGTCATCATATTGTTTATTATTTTCAGAAAATTTATTCTAAATACAAAATTTTCTTTTAAATTAAATTATTTTATTTATACAAAACCGAAACTTTTTTTTTAATTAAGAAATTAAAAACCCAAACTTTTACTAATCCAATTATTTTATTTAGAAGATAAAAAACTCTAGTTATTAAGATATTAGATCTGATTAAGACATTTATATTAATCAATTATAGCTTGATTGTTATAGTCTTTCTCCGCATTTTATAGAACCGCATATCTAAAATTATGCCCGTTGATTGTTCCTCATGACAATAAATATTTTATTATATAAAATATTACGAATCCTTAACCCGTTTTTACCCAAATTAATTTTTTTTGAAAAATTATTTCGTTAAAAAATAATTACTTCCTTACAATTTTTTTTCTTATATCGGAACACTAGGGACTTAAATATGTTACAAAGGGTTAAAAAAAATAAAAATATAAAACCAAAATGTAAATTGCAAAATTTCCAGATATATTAAAATTTATATTCAATGGATATTCAACACCACATCGTTGTCCTAGAGAACCTTTTTTAGATAACGCATATCTTTTCAGCTTTCTTTTAGAATACTCCAATGATCATTTCTATCATATACATTCTCGGTCACTTACTCCTAATTTATTTAACGATTTTAGTCATGCCCCCTTTAAGGCTATGTCAATAAGTACAACTTCACACATTTTAAAGATACACCTTAATATCAAAATCTATTACAATAATCCAAAAAACTGTGTTCAGGATGCTATCGTGAATAGAATCCAGAAGAAAAATTAAATTGAGTTATGCGACCCGAAGTCTTCTTTCCTTATTTCAAGAAATAAAATAAAAACTGCAACGTTTACGATTAAAAAAATTTTCAACAATTCAACAAGATATGATAAAATTATAATTTTTCTGAAGAGAGAAAATTAATTTTTTAACAATTACTCTGTTTTTATAGTAATTTTTTAAACCAAATTCACTTATACAAATCAGGAATTTATTGAAAATAAATAAGATTAAAAACAACTAATATTAGAAAAAAAATCATTGAACAAGATAAAATTTTTTTAAAATTAAGATAAAAAATATGATATCTTTTATATAAAATAACGGGTTAAGTAATTTAGCACGCAGCCTGTGTGTATTATAAAAGTGAAATAAATGCAAAAAGTCTCATAAAGTTATAGTAAAACGTGAAATTAAGCTTTATAATGTAAGTTCTATATTAATTTAGGTTAAGGCTATACTAGCACATTCTCGCATTTAAGAAATTAAGCGTTGGTATTCACGATAAGTTAGAATTTAGGAAGTTATTTCAAAATATAGTTATTCGGAATTAGTACACCTTGTATGCAGAACATAATTTTTTTAAATATTTTTGTAACACTTTATTTTGGGTTTGCTATGTTTTAACCTCATGCGCTACAGCGCTCTGGTATGGCCTAAACTTAGTTTAGGTAATGATACATTAGTATGTTATTTCGATTACAAATATTCTCATGTTTACAAAATATTAGCTAACGTTTTTCTTTCCTTCTCCTTCCAGCATTGCAACAAATATATCACCAAAAACATTAGACTCATCCTCATATATTTAATCCCTGTCAAAATATTACTAGTAACATATATTCAATATATATTATCCTATTTTAAAATGTGTCATTTGTTGATTAAATTTACGCCATTAATTCTATTTGTAGGGTTATAATCCGAGTCATGGAGTTTTATCGAAATATGACTTACTTCCTTTCGAACCTATCATTCAATCAATCAAGTTTATACTACAATATTGATATTAAAACCTTATAAGAAAAATAATTAATCATCTATTATATAAAGATTAATTCATAATACTATAGCATAATTAATCTTTAATGTAGATTTTAAAATTGATCTAATCAGAGTTTGAAAAAAAAAATCACAAAATTGAAATTTTTTTTTAAAAATCAAAATAATTTTTTTTAATTTTAGATAAAAATTTGATCAAAAATTTGTTTGAGCATCAAAAAATCTTTGAAAAGCATTTTAAGCTTTAGTTTATTTTTTCTTAGAGATGGAAATTTAGGGATGCTTGAACGTTCTAAAGAGGCTAACAAGAAATTTTTCATCCAATCCGGAATTTATCTTTTTATGGACAAGCTTAAAATTGTGTGCATCAGAAATCTGTTTAAAAAAGTGTAAGTTATATTATCAATTTTTTTAAAAATAAAGTTAAAACTTTGAAAACTAGACTGGTCCGTGCTTTTGGAATTTCTCAAGCCGGTGTTTAAAACATGCAAAATCTTCTGGGTCCTCGGATTATCGTTTACTTTAGGATATTAACTGCTTGAACATGAAATTTTCGGAATAGATAAAATATTTAACTGCTTATTATATACTTTTTTTAAAAATAATACGTCAATAAATACTACTGGCGAAAATGTTTTAAATTTGAAATAGCATGAATTTTGACTTAAGTTTTTTAAAGCATAAGATTTTTTCATGTTTGGCTTTCTTTTCGAAATTTTTCTTCTTATCTATTATTTTATTTACCAATCAATCACAAAAATATTATGGTGTAGAAAGGGAATAATCTTAATAACGAATATTAGTTATAAAATTAAATTCAATGATAATTGCTTATATATATTTTTTTAAAACTAAATTTTAAAAAAAGATTTTTAATATTGGGGTCGTTTCAAATCGACATAACTTCCTTTTTGACCGCGCTCAATTTCGCAGGTTATGAAGAAGCCGATTGTGATTTAGATGAAATTGAATGCCTTTTAGCGAACCTCATATATGAGGTTAATTTCAACAATATACTATTTAAATTATTGGGAGAACTTAATTATTTTAATCGTTTTTATAACAAAATAAATTATATTGCATTTATAACAGGGTAAGATCAAAGGTTACATCTCACATCAACACAAAAAATTAGTTGTCAGCAAATTAAACGCTTTCCCCAAGCTTACTAAATAAACAAAATATTATAAATAATACCCTTTCTCCACAAATTATTTGTAAAATTTATAATATATAACAATCGAATATATGTAAATAATTATGTTTTAATTAAATATTTACAGATTTTGGTTTGGATAACTTATTTGAATGTGATACAAGAGTGAGTTCTTATTTATTAAACCTTAGGATTTGAACAGTAAATAATTCGATTTAAAAAAATTAATGAGCTTAATATAAATTATTTAAAGCAATAGCTTCGCTAAATCTTATTTAAGAATTTCTAAAGAGTAGGGCATTTTTTAATATATATTTAGGCTAAAAGAAAACTGCATGATTTAAAAAATATATAGTAGCAGCTGTTAATGTAATATTTGGACTTAGCATATTTATGCTACCAGTCGATATTAGTTAAATCAATTTTAGTTTGCATCGGGCCTTAGGCTTGTTCAACAAAACGGCATGTTTAAGTAGAAAATATTTTAAGGCATGCTGAAAATTCTTTCACAATTTAAAAGCTAATATTAGCTGAAATTTTTTTTAAAATAAATAAATAACACATTTTGTAATTCAATTTCATTCGAAAATAAATTATTATAAAATTCGTTTCAATAATTGATATAAATATTTAAAAAATTGACTAACAAAATTGGCTTTATACTTTTCCTTCACTATAAAAATTGATTTGAGGAGCCTTGAATTTTTTTCAATACCATCGCTTAATTATGTTGGAAAATTATTAGTTAATATAAATTTTGAAACAAATTATGCTATTTTTTTTATAAATACCAAACTTATAATTTATTTTACTATAAATGAATATTTTCCAAATGCCAATCTTATAAAATATTTTGGTTGTTTTATTCAAAGTAACCATGTTTTTCACCAAGGATCCGATATTCATAAAAAAATTGATCCAATCAATGTAATAGAAAAACTATATTTTATATGCAAAAAATTAACTAAACTGTTAATTAAACATTTAAATTTTTTATTTAAAATTGGTGTCCAGGATTCGTTAATATTTATTTTCACAAAAGTTAATCATTTCATTTAAAATTTGTAAGTTTATAGCACTCGTTGAATACTTTTAAATCCATTTTTGTTGGAATATAACTATCAAAATTAATTAAAATTAAATTAATGAAATTTTGTCGGCGAAGGATTGCTCATAATACACAATTCTGGATATAGAATTTTAACTTTAGGAAATTAATTTTAGATAATTTGAAAAAAAATATATTAACCAAATTATGCACTACTATGTAAGTTATTTGTCAATTAAATACCATAAAAAGCTTTCCAAAAGCCGACGAATTTACAATTAGATTTGATGCCAAATATATTAAAATATGATTTTACATTGTAGCTGGAATTTTTTGATTTCTCTTTTTCGATAATTTTGAGTCGTTTGTCATCTGGAAACTTCAATATCGCCGATATTACTTTTAACATTGTCTTAATTTATCGTTTTAACAATAATGTAGTTTTATCTTTATCTATTTTAAATTTTACTCATATACTAATTTGTTCCCTATATTATGATTTTCTAAGGTATTATAACCTTGAGTAGCACACTGTATAACAACGCTCATGTTTAAATCGTTAATACTAAAAAAACCTGCTGATATTTTGACATGTTTTTTTACTCAGTATTTATGCTAAACTATGTTTTTAAGTTAAAACATTATCATTTTGATTATTGCATTATGTAAGAGATGCACCAATACTACTTTTTTTTTAGCTGATACTAAAAATAATAATACAACATTTAAAGGCAGGTTTGGTTATGTAAATAATACCGATTAAACATGATTTTTTTTTTATAAATTCATAGATAATGTTTTTTAAAAAATATTTTTTGAGATTTATTTTAATGGTTATAAACCATTTCAGGCGCGTAAGCAGCAGGAAAAGACAATAAATATCAGAAATATCAAAACCTAATATATATAAATTTGAGGGAGATACAAGAATCTAAAAGTTGATCGGGAAGTTATTTTAGAAAATATAATAATATCGAAAATTATAACCAGAGGCTCATGTCCCATAATGTATTCGTAGATAATTTTTCGCAAATATTCGAGTTCGGAAGTTTCGGGGAAAAGTGGCGGAGGTCCGTAGCAACAACTTGACGAATTAAATGTCGAGGAGGCGACGGACGATGAACGCTTGTTGTCTCTAATCATTGTCTTAACAATATAACGTGTAACATGATATAAATTCGATCTTTAATTATAGTTAGTTACACATTAATTTAAATGATTCATAATTAGAACTTATTTCTATATTCTTCACGACAAAATGAAAGTGCAGTAAAACCTCGAGTTAATATCCAAGTAGACATAAAATTTTGGGTGAAGGTTAAGTATGTTTAGTAGTTATAGCGTTAAAGTATAGTATAACAAAATATGATGAATGAGACAGACAGAGTTACCAAAAGCGAGAACTTAACTATAACCTAATTAATTAAAATTATGCTAGATAGACTTCTGGCCAGACTTTAAAATCTGTTTAAAACAACGAAAGTAACATAATTAAAAAAAAGGCAAGTTTTTATTATAAGTCTTGAGATAATTTACAAACGAACTCATTAATTAGTTAGCTTTAAATAATAATCATGAATTACACTATTTAAGGGGAAATCATTATATTGGGATAAGGTGAAGGATACAGCAGAGGAATAATCCTTCAGAATATTTTCTTGGTCTATAGCTTCAGTAGGGGGAATGTCTCTTTAAATATATATGTCATATACTAAATTTTGTATAATGTATAATATAAGTATTAATAAGAATGAAATTAATATATTATTCATAATCAACTCATTAATATCCTTATCTTAACTCGGGATATTAATTAATAGGTATGTATAAATTGTAAGATTTTAAAGATAAGAAAGCTATCAATTGAAATTAATGCCTGTAAATATAAAAAATACGTCTCTAAATTTAAATCGAATAAAAATGGAAATTATCCGACTGTTGATTAAAAAATAGGTATAATAACCTACCTATATCCAACAGCCATGGTATCTTGACTCCATATACGGCTGTTATCGTTGAAATCTAAACCAATCTCATCCATATCTTGAGATGCTTTTTTAAGATTTGTGGATTGAATTGAGCTATTGTTTCGTTTAGATATAGGGTGCAAGGATGTTAGATGATCAAAAAATTCATCCGTTAAAGTTTCGTTTAGAATGTGAGTTATAGGACCACTCCATAAATATTTCTGGCAAGAAAAAAGAATATGTTGAAAATTTAAAAATAAATTTGGTTCTTTTCAGATTAAATGGTGTTTAGAGACCTATATTATGAGACTAACTCTATTTAGATTAAAAGTAGAAAAAACCCTATAGTCTACAATAATCAAGCCAAAAATACTAGTGTAAACTGTCTATATACCACAAACAAACATATATCATAGCTTATAATTCTAGTAAGTCTGCCCACTGGGATCAATTAAGTAATTTTAAATGTTCTTAAAATCAATACTTTATCAAAATTTGGAAATAAAAGAGAACAAAAAATTGCAGTAAATAGTTTTTAAAGATATCTCCCAAAACCAGGGGATAATTCAACATGATATGATTTTCATAGCCGTTTATTTAACGTGTTTAATAAATGAAGTTTTTTTAATTTTATCATTAATACTTTTATTGATATCTAATATAAGTTCTAATTTTTTTCAGGTAAGAGGAATCAACAATATAATAAAAGAATAAATAATATATGGTATAAAGGTCTCAATGGATAAATAGATTTATTAGTGTAAGAATTGAAGTTGTCAATTTATATTCATGAAGTCGAATATGTAGAATAATATAAATTCAAATTATGATGATCGTATACTTAATTTTTTTTATATCTAAAAAGATATGTGCAATCATATTCACAAAAAACTATAAACACTACCGGGCATAAATGACTGCCCACCCTGCATTTTTACATAAAAAATTAATAACTTAAGGTGGTCATATTGATGAGACCAAACTTTGATCTTAATTAATGCTGTCTTTTATTTTTTGTAATTTTATGCAATAATTTGTAAACTTATAAATAAATTTGATAAACCTCATATTGTGTGTTATTTGTCTTATTTTAAGAAAAATGTTAAGAAAATGCAAGGTGAGCAATCATTTATGGCCGGTAGTTTATATAAATCAATTTTTATCATTATCATACAAAAATTAATGGCATCTTTATTATCACCTTATACATCATATCTTGAAGTGACGATATTATCTAAGTAAGGTGATAATATTTTATAATAATAATAATAATAACTATTATATACATCTCCAGGGTGTATATTTTTTAAATTTATAAGTCATTACTAAAATTATTTTAAATTAGTAACCACTTACAACATTTTAAATGTTAATCAAGAGTAGAAACACTTAAGATGTGTCTAAATATAAAATAGAGATCTCTAAGTGTATTTCTTAAACATACTCCATTAAAATCACTGGCTAAATAAATATGTATTGCATAGATTGGAACTATGGAGATTGGGACTTGTATATAATACATATGTTAGGGAAATATATATGGGGGGGGGGGTAAATTAATATAATTCTATAAACTTTAAATTAATATAATGAGTAAATACACCGTTAAATGTTTAACAGTTTTATCTTTTATAATTTCTGTTGATTAATATGGGCCATAATTTACCATCTATCGAAATATTCCATAACTCATTTGATATCCGCTCTATCACCATTCCTTGTTTCCACTTTACATAAATAAATTCCTACTTCCATACATCTTTAATGTCCCTCTCGCGCATGTGTACTATCTTCTCTAATTTTATCAGGATGTCCCATCTCCAATGCAAGACTCGCTCTAACACCACTTCTGCAGGAATCTTTTCGGTATAACGGTGAAGAACATTCCTTTAGTTAAAAATTATAACTCACATCCAACACTTTATTTTGTGAATTGTCTCTTTGGCTGTTCTTACCATATGTTCGGCTTCCCCTTTAGAATATGGATGGTAAGTTAATATATGCTTTAACCCCTTCTAGTCTAGATATCTTCCGTATCCCAAAGATCGAAACGCTGATCCATTATCTGTTACTATCTCTTTCGGACATCCTAATTTCCCAAAAATTTTATAACCTTTCCATTTATATGATTAAACAAATCCATAGGAACTAATGGGTACAAATACATCAGTAAAATCATCTAAACCAGGGTTAATGTGGATATCGCAGTATTGAACCTTTAATTGGGGAAATAATGATGCGTTTTCTATACTCCTTGTAATTAAAAAAATTTTTTTTTTACATCTATGAGTACCCTAGGCCACCAGAAATATCTTTTCATTATTTCTTGCATATGCTACACTCCAATATGAAGATTTTCAAATAATGATGCTGGCAAAAATTAAAATTATAAGCTAATATGGATCATTTGTTAGCCAGGTATCGGTGCATCTTTTATATTAATGATTATAGTTCGCATAGATGAATACCCGCTCCAGTAAAAATTGCTTAGGAGATATTATCGTTGTGAGTTATATGCGATTTAATTTATAATGTTTTTTAAGGTAAAAAAAACCTCAATATCAACTGGCCAGATATCGTGATCGATGATATTTTTTTCAGCTTTCGTCTCTGGGAGTAGACCCCTCTGACTTAGAGAGGCTAAAAGTGAGGAACCAAATTGGCTTACGGCTGTTTTAAAGGTTTGTTCGAGGTAAAATACGAGTTTTTTTTCCAGATTCCTTAATTGTTCGGCTTTGTGTCTCATGCGGTTTTTTAGGACAGCAATTTCTTTTTCGCGTTCCTAATTTTTGAAAAAGAGTTGTGTAATAATTTTTCAAAAAAAAAATCCAATAAGGATAGTGTTGGCTCGATTCTGAAAAAAACGGCTAACCCAATATTTTCGCCAAAAAAAACGGAAGCCTGGAGATTTTGATCATGGATGATAAAAGGTTTGAACATTTATTAACGAAATATAAAGGCTTGTGTTATTTTTGGCTAAATCGAGCCATTTAATAACATTAAATAAGGAAAAGTAGTGCATTTGGCAAATAATAAAACTGCTATAGCCAAACCCCAGGGAAAATATATTATGCCTTTTTTGTTATACCTAACACATGATAAAGAAAATTTATAGTTTTTATAAAGTATAAAAGTAACAATGGCAAGAATTAAAGAATGCAAAATAAATCATCAACACTAAGGTAATATAAAAAAAATATCTTAAAATACATTTTTAGTTTTTATAAAAAGTATCAATGGCAAGAATTAATGAATGCAAAATAAATGATCAATACTTAAGGTAATATAAAAAAAAATATCTTAAAATACAAAATAAATGTAGCACTTCAAAAAAAAATATATAGTTCCACAATTTCTTTAATGCCAAAAAAAATAAGAATTTAAAATTATTAACTTAATCATAAAATATTTTTAAAACTTCTAATTTCTGATCGTATAAATCAATAGTGTGTTTCATTTTTAGATCTGAGTCGTGTAAAATAGAATACATTTGATCTATAGGTGTTTGAACTTCTTCATGCATAGGTGACAAAGTAGGGGACTTTTCAAAGTTAGCTTTTTGATAAAAATAAATATTTTAATATTAAGATGATTAAATAAAATAATATGAAGGAAGGAAAAGAAAGAGCATATATCGTCGCGTGAGAATTAGGTTGTACTATATCCATTTTTTGTTAAAAATGGCTTTTTTTAAAAATAATAAATCAATTTTTATAATTATACCATTCTATTTACATAAAAAGTCCAATTTATTTATAAAATAACTTAAATTAAATCCGATACAAGGTTAACCATCCTATTTAAATCAATAGAAACTTCATTTTTTAAATTTCTCCCCTGTAAAATTACAAGAAATAGAATTTTCTAATTCTCGGGGGACGATATAGAGAAAAAAGAAAATATAGGGTGAGGAGATATATTAATTTAATAGTATAATACATAATTATATAATAGACCTAGCCAGAAAATAAAATGATGGTAAGATTTTCTGTGAATGCGACTACTCAATAAAAGGCTAAAAAAAAGATAAGGATGGATTAGTCAGAAAAGTCAAGAGAAATAATTTAAATTTTCATTATTCTGTTAAGGTGCAGTGTTAGAGTATAGTGGGAGAGAGGTATGGAATCGATACAGGAAAAGTTTTAGGTTCCCACCCCCACTAGATATACAATGGGGCTCCAGTTTTTGAAATGTAAAAAATCATCTTAAGCAGAGAAGGCAATTTTTATATCAGGTCGCATGTTTGCATAGATAGGGGGGGGGGCAGGAGAGTCAATTATGAATTTTAGCTGTTTATTGAAAGAGCAAATCGAGGTTTTAGATAATAACCCGATTCACTGTTTAATGGTCAAAAATATATTAAGAGAATTTTTTTTGTAAACACGGAATAACGGAATTTCAATAAGGGGGCTTAGACATTTACTAGCTAATAAAGGGTAAAAGGATATCTATCGGCTACCAAATCTATGATCCAAAAACTTGAAATTTTAAAGTATTTAATAATGAATATGCTTTAAAGATTATTCTATTTGTAATTGTAGAGGGTCATTAGAAAGATTTGGAGAGATCAAATTTTAAGAGAATCTAATAATTCAAAGAATTGAGGTAAAAGGAAGCGTGTAACTAATTTGTAGGGTAGGGGGGTGAAGAAATATTTATATAAAATATTATTATTGCCCTATGTATACAATTTGTGAAAGTATCAGTCATGATCGATAGTCGAAAACAATTTTTTTTTCTCTTCTTTTATCAAAATAAAAAGATAATTAGAAAACCTTCCTGGGATTAGGATAAAACAATTAGAGGAATATATTTAATTTAACTAGCATAAGAATGCATTGAAATTTTTTTAAATTTCGGGCCGGTTCAAAGATGAATAAAACACTAATAAATTTGATTTTAAATTCAAATCATTTGCAATCTTGATTCCACCACTATAACATATTTTTATTAAAAAAATAACCTTTATCATCGAAACAATGGACTAAGGAATGCGCTAGCGCTAATTGTCGATCCCCTAACTGTCTCCTGAATTCTACCAACTTGCTTTCTACTTCGTTCGAGAAGCTTTCTTTCAGACCGAGTTCCATTTCGAGTTCGGCAATTTTCGTCAGGAAATGTTTTTCTTTTCGTTCGTTTATTGGGCTATCAACTTCTTTTTTTTTATAACGAAACAAGATAAAATTAATAAGGTATTTTTGTCTTACCACTGCTGATTGCCAGATAGATGTAATCCCTATAAAAAAAATGTGCATTGATTTTAAAGTAAAATAAATGTGTAGAAAAGAGATAATATTTAAAAGTTTTAAACTTTATCGTACTATTTTTATAAAATTTGTATTATGGCCGTGGCTAAATCGAGTGTTGTTTAAGGGTTCGATTTCGCCGATTTTAAAAATGATAAACTCATGATTTTAGCCCAAAAGAATCTTATACAAGCCTAAAGATTGTTCATGGATAGCAGAAAGGTTTGGAAATTTATTGGCGTAATCTCGAGGCTTATGTAATATTATTTTATCTAAAATCTTAATTTAGCCGCTGTAAAAATTGATTAAACATAGCCGTTTAACAATGTTACCTACACTACACCACATATTGTCTATTTAGTAGTCAACATTTTATACTCATATTTTGGTGATAAATGCGACATACACTGATAAGGCCTGCTCCTATCTTTATTATACATTTTGTGTTTTCTTTCTATGCTTGAGTTGAAATAATCCAAAATATCTTGAATATTTGCTAGCGCCTATATATTTATTTAAAGACTAAGTACGGATTATTTATAATGGTTATCTAAGGTATTTTATTTTAAATATATTTTTAAAAAATATTTAGAAAATCTAAAAACGTAAGAATTTTAACTAATCAACAATTCATTAAAAATATGGCATTCTTAAACTCGACAATACAAAACCTATGTACTTTTAATGAAGTTAAAATTGTTATGTCACGTTTAAACTGTATGTAGCATATCTAAACTTACAGTTCAAGATATAGATTTAAATTATTAATCTAATTTTGATCTTGATACATTTTATTTTCTTCGACCACTTCAATTATTGTTCTAGTTTTTTTTTAAAAAATTTGCATTATTATTGGTAAAAGACTGGTCTGCTGCCATGATAATTAATATTTAATTTAAAGTATCGTTGATATATCAATCAAAAGATACCATCTTCTCCTCGGAGCTGTCAAAGCTGCCAATAGGTTATTCTTATTATTTTACTTTGGCATTATCCAATATACCAAAAGTTTTAATGGTCTAACAATCTTCCAAAAAGGGGAGCCAGATGGAGGCTCCCTTACAAAACTTATTAACACCCGAAACATCGGGCACCGTGCCTACCAATAAATGAACAAGGAGAGAACCCTATTGCTCCTGGCCCGCCAGATCGCATTGCCCTATTCATAACAGCTATTACAGCCCTCTCGTTAAGTGTAAACTCTAAGTGTAGACTCGAAAACCGCTCCAACGACTCTACCAGCGTCCGTCGAGACTCGCGCTCTATGACGTACACGATTACCCCACTAAGTAACTCCGCGAACGCGTTTACAGCTAGCACTGTCATAATGGTAACTTCCGCTCAAATTGTGCCATTGACGCACACTGACAAGGTCCGAAAACTCATAAATCTATGGAAGGGGCTCAAGTAACCTGAGAGAGCTGAAATGCCGATCAAACGAAAGAGATCGTAAAGAATTAAAGCATACCTGCAAGATGGTTAAATGCATGCATGCCGACATGCATATTTGTTGTGTCGCCATGATAGCACGATTAAGAACACTCCCCTCGTAATATACTGGAATTGGCAGACAGCTAAAGCTAAAGACCTATCTTATCTAGAGCAGTATAAGGGAGCCAAAGAAACCAAAATCGTACTAGATCGGCCCTTTCGAGAGGACGCACAACCAGAGATGCGTCCACCTTCAGACGCCTGAAAATCCATAAGGAGGCGACAACCTCTAGGGGTAATAAAAGAAAATAAGGGGAGCAACGTGAGACACAATAATAAATAAACTATTTCTCCTCCTTTCCTTCTAACATTTTTTCTCCAGATAAATATATAATATTACTATAACTTACAAGTAAAAATTTAAAAATTAATTTATAATTATGTTTTATTTAATCGCATAGCCTTTAATATCATTTATAATAAAATATTATTAACTACACTACAAAACACAAGCATATCATAAATTTTGTTAATGGGGGAGGGGAGGACATTAGTTGGGGTTTTCCCAGTAAATTTTATTGGAAATCTAGGTCCACGCACGTATTGTAGGCCTTTGGCTATATTAAATTTTTCGGTTTCGCCTTTTTTTTTATAAAAATGCTTTCTTTCTAAAAATTTTGAATTATAATCTTTATTTAATAATTTAAACAAGATATTACCTATAAAATGGAAGTATAAAAAAAACTATAAAATTTTGAAAAATGGGAAGAGAAAAAAAATGATTACTCAAAAATTAGGTTATTTTTCATGAATTTAATGGGGAAATTTTTTTTAAAAACTATTTTAAAAATTTTATTTATTTTGACTAGAACCTTTAAACCCTCTACCTTTAAAACGGTTCCGTGTCCACACCATATCCCTAATATAGTTACCGATACATAAATATCTTACATGTTTTGGGTTCTACACCCGGAAGTTTGTAGTGTTTTTTTCCTTCTCTTTGCTTTTTCTCTCTTAGAGAAGAAAAGAATGAACGTAAAATAAATTGGAAATTATTTAAAGTTTATTGTTAAAAAAAATAGCGGTGCTTAAGGTAAGCGTTAAAAGGAATTAAACCGAACCTTTTAAAGTTTAATAAACTATCAAAAAATACCCGTTTCTTCGATTGAAGCGGTGAAATCGGGAAATATTTCGAGATCAGTTTGAGTTTCTTGATACTAAGTATTATTTTTTTAATTAAAAAAATAAAACTTAGTAAATGACAAAAAAAACTAATTCTACTTTTTGATCCAGAATCGAATCCCTGACTGAGGCAACTTCGTCATCTTTAAACCTTTATTTTTGGTATAAAATGTTTTATGCTGCATTTATTGTAAGCGCGATTCGCTCAAACTAAGCGAAATTAATCATTAGCAAAATCACCGCTGAATCTTCACAGAGATAATGCTTTTTGAAATATACGTATACGTAAACACCTATCGCGATTTCATTATTTCCCGCTAGGTATACCTATTATTTACTTGATTATGTAAATTACGTTGCAAAAAATTTAGCAAAGTCGTTTGAGCGAATCGTTACTATAAATGCATTTATATAAGAATCGAAAACTAAAATAATAAAAAAAGTATATATATGTAAAGTTTCTTAGACGGGCCTCAACAATTTCATAAATCTTTCGATCTAATTAATATTAATTATAAAAAAAATAATTTATCCAGTATAATTGGAAATTAAGTTTAGTATAAAAAAAATTGTTTCGAATGAAAATCAGGAATCGAAGAGGACTTTAAAATTTATTTCATAGAATAGGTGGACGGAAAGTGGGTTAATAAAATGAATTAATTTATTGCCTAATCGATTCAATGGTAAGATTTTCTATTTCTCGGCACTTTTCGTGATATTTAAAACGCAAATCCTCTAATTCATATCGAGCTTCATCTGCCAGAGTCTTAAATTATTTCATTTTTTTCAGAAAAAAATTAAAATCTTTATTTGTTAAAAAAAATGCATTATATAATATTAAATAAAATAAATTTGATGGAATAAAATGTAATAATTGGAAGAGGTAAGATAACTTCGTTAAATAACAGATCTTCTTTTAATGCCTTTATCATGTCTTCTTTGAGCGCCAAACACTTAGTCTCCATGATGGCGTGCTCTAATGATATTTCGAGTTCTTCCGATTTCAAGGTTAGACTTTGTACGTGAGCCTCCTTGGCAGCCATTGCGTTTTGAGATTCTAAAACATGTTCCTGGTATTTACGGTCTAGGGTTTCGAACCTAGAGGTTTTATATATTATGTATATTTTTAAATGTCTTACACTCATTAGATTACTTCCAAAAAAACGAATCAAATACTTAGATTATTAGTATTCGATAAAATTTCAAATCGACTAATTGTTATTCATATCCGAACGAATCAATTTAATTTATTTTTCTCTTCAAATTTATAAAATAATAAGGATTAATGAAATTGATAAAAGATGAATAAATTGCATTGAATAAATAGTAGAAGCTAAACCGTGTACATATAGAAAATATACAATACGCAAATTGCCGATATATAAAACCAAATGTAAAAAAATATATTATGTGATATTTTACGCCTAGCTCTATGGGTGGTATAAGAGCTAAACGCTTGGTTTTCTCAGAAAGCCCATCAAATTGGATAAAAAAGACGGGTTTTTTTGGGCAGGTCGTAATAATCTGTGCGCGCAAGAGGCAAAGCCCCTTACTTAAAACCCCATGGAAAATAAGAGAAGTTATGGAAGGGTTATGTTGGCTATGTAAATTTTACTTTTATTTAGAATTGTAAGAACCTAGAAATAGGAATAATTCGTTATAAAAATTAGAGACCTGCAGACCTAGCCAGAAATTTTTTAAAATATACCCGAGCCTGGGCTTAAAATTTTTTTATATACCCGGGCCAAGCCTAAAATTTTTTTTTCCTAAATGCAAATGGTACATCTACAGGTCTCTTATAAATATCATCATTTGATAGAAAATGGCGTCGTTGACTTTTCTTAGTATATGGTCCTTAAAATAAAGGGTTTTTCTCAAATAGAAAAGTATTTATGTTGTGCTGAATATGTTTTGTATCTCGTAAATAAATCATTTAAAAAAAAATTAAACTTAAAATCTCCCGCTCAAATTCATCATTATATAATAACCAAAATAAAATGTAAAATTATAGAGGAAAAAATGAATACTTTTCATGGTCTTGATTGACCTGATATTTGATGGACGACAATTCCTCGCACTTTTCTCTATATTGCAAAGAAAGGTCATCGAACATTATTTGAAGCGAATCATACTCTTCGACCCTAACCTAAATAGAAATTCAAATATTATTTTAAAAAACTTCTTTTTAGTTTAAATTTTATGAAACACACTTTCATTTCCTGGATTAACGCTGTGTTTTCTAACAATTCAGTGTTCGTCCTAAGCAATTCCAAATTCAATTGGGACATGGCTTGTTCTGTGACGGATTTAAGCTTCAAATTTTCTTCTAGCGCCGATTTGAGGTTTGATAGCTCATTCGATAGGTCTTTGATGAGAGAATCCTTACCTGACGGTAAGTTTTCTCTCGATTCAGTGTTCGCCCTAAGCAATTCTAATTGGGACATGGTTTCTTCTGCGACGGATTTAAGCTTCACATTTTCTTCCAGTGACGATTTGAGGCTTAATAGCTCATTCGATAGGTCTTTGATGAGGGAATCCTTATCTGATGCTGAGTTTTCTTTCAATACAGTGTTCGCCCTGAGCAATTCCAATTTCAGTTGGTAAATGGTAAGTTCTGCTTCAGATTTAAGCCTCCCATCTTCTTCCAGCACCGATTTAAGGCTTGCTAGCTCATTTGATAGGTTTTTGATGAGAAAATCCTTATCTGATGCAGAGCTCAAGTGCTTACTTTCTAGTGCTTTAATTCTATGAAGAAAAAAATTTAGTTTTTTAAAGATAATTAATTGGTTAAATTCTAATATTTTTACAATATGTATTAAAATTAAATAGGATAATTATTATTTATGATTATCATTAAGCCGATCCACTTTTTTAAATAAATTATTTTATTATTAATTTACTTATCGTTGTCTCTGGAGCGTTCAGTTTTAATTATCTCCAATTCTCGATATTTTTCGTCTAATTCGTTCCTCAAACGTTCCAAATCTTTCTGAATATTGGCATAATCATCAGCCATTGTCTAAATTATTTATTCGTCGTAAAAACCATAAAAATAGATTTATAAATAGAATGGTTCTTTCTTTAAAAATTTAATTATATTTATCTATTTTCCCTTTCATTCTTCTATTTAAAATTTTTTTTTAACCATACATAAAATATTTTGACCATATATTAAAAAAAAATTCTAATTACTTTATAGTTTATATGGTTCGCTTGAAATTCCGCTACTATCTTTTCGTGTTTATGTAAATTTGCCTTTGTTGGTTCTATCTCCGATTTCAATAGAGAAATTTGATCTTCCAACTGACATTTACTTCTAAGGACATCTTCAAGCTCGCTTCTAATCTTGTTCATCTCGGACGACAGGAAAAAATTAACGGCTTCTCTGGCTGTTATATCGTCTTGAGAAACCTTAGCGCATTCCAAATACCTGATCTCAGAGGCTCTAAACCTGTCAATAATTTAGTTTATGCATTATTCAAGTGTATTAGTTGATGTCTTTATTTTTTAATATTTTTACGATTTCATTCAATTTATATATATCCAAATTTGATAAAGAATAAGAGTAAACAACTTAACAATCTAATATATTAACTAACTCAACGTGGAGTGTAGGTTCTGTTGATAATATGCATATATAATGGGCCAATTTAAACTCGGAGAAAAAAAAAGAATAAAAAAGTGCATCCAACCTTTCCTCGAACTCTTGCTCCATGAGAGATTTATCGTGCTTGATCTTAGCCAATTTTCCTTCCGTTATTTCTAATTTGTTTTTTAAGTCTATCTTTCCTCGTTCCCGGTCATTAATACTAATATTTTCGATGTTTGGTGCGGACCAATTCCAATTGTCCTGAGTATTATTCGTTTCATTTTTCTGGTCATCATTTTCGTTATCTTGAGGTATTCCCAAATTTTCCTCTAATTCCTGGGCTTCATTTACCTATTCATTCATATATATTTTTTATATTTGTTTTAAATTTTGAAACGTTAATCTTTGAGGTTTAAAAAAAGTTGAAGATATAATACTATTTTAAGTACATATTCAAAAAATTATCAATACATCTTTTAAATTAAACATATTATTATAAATACATTTATCAACATTCATATTTTTTTTATTAATAAAATATATTTTATCTGCCAATATAATATTTTATAAAAATATGGTCCATATCTCATAAAAATTAGAGTTCAACGTTTGGAAATTGTTGATTGGCATTTAATTTAAATTTTACCTTAATCACGAATTCGTGTTCCAAATACTGTAAACTTTCCCTTAGTTCGGAGCATTCCGATTCTAGCTCTATTACTCTTAGAGATGTTCTATCCTTTATTACTGAATCATCTGTAAGGGATAGTGCACCACCTTGAATATGAGTCAATGTTTTACCGTCTCGTTCTAAATATAATCATTTTATAATTATATTTATAAATAAAATAAATAATTATTTTTTCAGTAAAGGGCACCCTAAGATTCTTTGGTCATTTATTAGCGAAAAAAATCAATCATAACACAAATAATATTTTCGTCATTACAATCAGATCCTTGGTCGTCTTAAACGTGATTCAAACTAAACTTCTCGAATAGGCTATTAAATTCATATAATAACTATCCAGATAGGGGTTTGCCGATGGAGGAAGATCTAATATTGCCGATAGGGTTGGCAAAATTTGTATTTTTGATTTAAATCGCGATTTAAATTAAATACTAATATTTAACAGAGAATTATAGATTTAGATTGATAAATGTCATACATCATAAAAAAATTTAAGTTTAATATATTATTTACTTTGTAAGTATAAAGTTAATGCTTTAGTAATTGTTGAAAATATATATACAGATAAGTAATGAGCTAATTTGATATTTTGTCAAAAAAAATGCTGACTGTCATTCAAAAATTCGATATGTACATTAGAGGTCTGCAATGGCTGGGAGAGGCTGGTTAATATCTGTAAAAATTTTATTTGGGTTGGGCTAGGCAAAAATTTATTGGGCTAGATAATTGATGAATTCTGATGCTTGATAGAAATGATAATACTTAAAGTGTGGTGTTTTTAATTTCACTCTTGGCCGTTAACCGATATTTCAAAAAAGATAAAAAAAAATCAGTATACCATTATCCTAACATTGAAATATCACGCCTAGCAGCAACAAGCAAAAGCTCCTGGAAGGACTTAGTGGGCGGATGTCCAGGATTGAATCAAAGGACGAAAATTATTGTGAATAAATTTTAAAAAATAATATAGTAAATATTTTATTTTATTTAACCCCCCAATTTTTTTTCGGTCTCTTGCAAACGTTTATGTGTATCTCTCAGCCTATCTAAAGCCATTTCGAGAGCTTCTCTAAGTTCTTTCTCGTCGCCTCCGCTAACGGGCGATTTCTCGATTTCTTCTGTCAAAAATCCAACTGAGAAAGTTTCCTTTATTTGTATAGTGGTAAATATGCGGAATAGTAATATTTTGAAGAAAAAAAACCCTGCGATGGATGGATAATTTAAATTAAACATTCATTCATTTTCGATTTTAAAAACATTCATAATTTTTTTTAATATGACCAAAAATTTTTAAAAAATGGGAAGTATTTAGAGCAGGGTTGGCAAGTCGGTCAATTGACCAGTCAAATTCAGTCAATTGACGGGTCAATTGACCGGAGGAGTATTTGACCTGTCAAATACGGTCAAATACTCTAAAAAATTTAAAGGAAGAATAAATTGAAAATATGTTTAAAAAAGGGAAAAAAGATGTAAATACATGTGATCACAATGTTTGCTTATTTTTTGTGTTCACAATATCAAAAGGAGAACTCACAAGTATGTGATATAATTCAAGAATTAGCTCTTTTACAAGATAGTGATGACCAAAATATTTTAAGTGATATAATTAATTTCAGAAGCAAAAACAGCATGTTTAATATAGCAAATTATGCGGAAAGTATAATTTCCAGAAACAATCAATTCCGACCTCTAGTTAATAGATTAAACTTTGTCCACCCTGCCCATTAAGAGACTAACAATTCCTAGTTCTACTTCTTCTTTAGAAAGAAATAGGTCGATTAGGGTTAATATTCTTATGAAAATGGAAATCGATTGAAGATCTAAGACATCAGGAAAATTGATTAAAAAATATTAAAGAAAATGATAATATTGAAAATGAATCAGAACAAGAACTCCGCTACAATAGCTACACGTTAGTTATTGAATGACAATGAATTTAAAAAATTAATATTATAGATTTTATTTTACTATTATATTCAAAATAAAGTTAATATTAACTTTAAAAAAACATATATTTGAATTTGACCATATTTGACCGGTCAAATATCGGTCAATTGACCGAAACGTATTTGACCGGTCAAATGCACAACCCTGATTTAGAGCATTTTAAAATAAAAATATATTATAAACCTGCCTGGGATGATTTCTTTTTAAAAATAAAATTATTGTATTAAAGTTAGCTTGAAAATCATGTGATGAATCATCTAAATAATCATGCTTCTCATATTTTCGATTTTATTTTACATCCATCTCTACCAATTTAGAAAACCGGGTTAAGAAATTATCAAATATTTTTATATTAAAAAAGGTAGGCCTTAAAAATAAAAATGGAGCTGGGATATGAATAAGAAATTGAGCCAGTTCAAAAACTGTCGAAACCCAAACAATTTTTGATTTTTTTTTATAAACATTTTAGGAATATATTATGATAAATATAAATATTTTTCGAAGCAAACTTTATAGGTTTGAAAATCAGCTGATCTGGTAGGTAATTGTTCGGAATCTAATAAATAATGCGAAAATGGCTCGCTGGGTTTTCCGGTATTTTCTATATCCGTCATTTCGGTTGTTTGGTCTAATATAAATTATTTTAAAAATATGGTATAACAACAGATTACGCGTGGATGAGCGTTTAATCAGAAATGCACAGACACGGCTTTTTTTAGATGATAGGGATACCAAAATCGGTTAATTCTAAAAGTATCGACCGAGACTGGTTTTGAAAGGTGCATCAAAATTATTTATTCATTTACTCAATTTTAATCGCTAGAAATTAATTATAGAAAAACTCGGTTGATAAGCGTGAAAAGAATTTTATTTGAAACGTGCATGAAAAAAAGGAGGGTCAAGATTATTTATAAATTTCATATAAAAAAAAAAGAAAGAAACACATTAGAAGCTATCCATAAAGGTCACGTAACACCCCTTAGTGTTCAAGAAGTTTTAAATGTCACTAATGATGATGAAGAAGATAAGGAAATTAACGTTGAAAATATATCCGACAATATTACAAATAATATTGATCATATTAAGGCAAACAATAATCTGTTAGTTAATCAAATTATTGACCACATATGCCAACCCTAAATGCTATAAATTTTTTTATCAATCTTATTATATTTACCAGACGTGTAGGGGTACTGTATGCACGGCCCGGCCTAAAATTTACCTGGCCAAAAATTAGACAGGTCCAATTTTGTTAAAATATATTAAATATATTTTAAATTTATATGGATAATATAGGCGATTTAAAATATTCTGTTTTAAAATATTCAGCCTGGCCCGGGTATTTTTTAAAAAAAGACCCAGTACAGTATTTAAAAATTTTTTTTTTGGTATATTTAAAAAAAAATTAAAATACGTCCTACCCTGCAGGTTTCTGATATAAATATTAGGATAACAAATTTCATTATTAGATCGATAAATTTGGTTTATAATTATTTAAAAACTAAACTCGTTAATAGTGAACTTGCTTGAACACTAAAAAATTTTTGTTCACTTTAACAAAAAATCGCCATACCGAGAGCATAGACGTAGTTATGATTTTGTTGGTGATGGGGGGGGGAGGGGGTAACAATATTAGGTGGATTTCCCCTATAAAGGCTTTTGGCATTCTTGTGTCTTTATAAAAGTAATTTTGAGTTTTCCCTTTGGCCTTTTTTTTTATATAAAAATGTTTATTTCCTAAAAATTTGGATTCATAGTTATTTTTTAGAAAAAAAAATTGTTTCAAATTCTTGATTATTTTTTTTAAATTTGTGAGCGAAATTTATGAGGCCAAATAAAGTTACACAAACTTCTCTTTGCATGTTTTCATTTTCGCATTATTATATAATTAAGCTTGTCTATAAAAAAAATACTCGTTTTAAATTTACCAGAATGATTTTGAGAAGATATGACTATTGATGATTCCTGATGAGGCGAAATTTCATCGGTTCCATTATATTTGTTTTCTTTAAAATATTGCACCTATATATTTTTTTCATAAAATTGATAGAACAATTTTTTAAGGTAGGCAGCAATCATACACAGGCAATAATAACCTCAAAAAATATATACGAATGCATTAAAGGTATAAATTTTTTTTTAAAAATAGAAATTTTGATTTCTAGCAATGCGAGAGGAGGCAAGTTTATTTTAATATTGTAGAATTTATAATCCGCATTTTATTAGGTTTTAAATGTATTTATATGATGTACAAGTCGATAATGTAGATTCTATAATTAAAATATTTTGGATCTTAAAATACGATAATATGATATTGTCAATTTAAATTTTAGATACAAAAACAATGATCTTAATGTCAACTCAAATATAAAAATTTATTAATTTGAGGTTAAACAATATAATAAAACATAACATTTACTTGTATGATAGTTGATGTTACACTCTTACTAAAAAGCATTGGTAATAATGAATTATTAAATCGCATATGCAATTTTATACTTGAGTTTTGAGAACATTTATTTGTTCCTCCTTCTCTTCCAACAGGAGCCGGTAGGAGTACTCCATGTGGGCTTTGGCTTGTTGGGTTAATTGGCACGTTTCCTTCATCTCGTGAATTTTCCTGAGAGATTTATCTTGGAATTGCAGGAGAGCATTCTATAACAGATCAAAATTTTTTAAAATTATGTAATTGTTTCATTTTAATAGAAGAATAGCAATTATTTTATATCCTTTATAAATAGATCTATGTCGAAATCCTCAAAATAAGGGGATTGTAAATCATCCAAAATTTATTTATAAGAAATGTAGATGGAATATAACATTCTTTAAGCATTCATTACTTGCATTTTTTCGCGCTCTTTTTCCAGAACCTTGTACGCGTGTGTTACCTGCAATTAACGATAAATAAATAATATATAACTAACTATATAATCATATTAATACGTAAATGAGATATATATAAGGGATGAAATAATATATTTCTAAAATACGATGTGTCAAAACCTTCAATTATATATTATATATTTTTTTTAAAATCATACTCCCTGAATTTCCAAAACACTTTCCCAACTCTTACACAGTAAATAACTGATTGAATTCCTATTTTCCTTTTTAATAATTTCACAAAATCATATCTGTGATATTTCTCAACTTTAAAAACGATCAACACTTGGTATTTCTCACTTTTAAAACCGTTCAACACTTAATTTAGCTGCTTAATTCAACGCCCCTTTTTTTTATCAGTCAACACTTTAAATAGACTCCAACTATTTTTCTTATTCAACAAAAAAAATCTTACTTTTCTTTAATTTTCTTCTACATTTTGTATTTTCAGTAAAATAATTCTTGATGACTATATTTTTTTTTTACTTTTTAATTTCTTTAAATTTCAATCCAAAGAAATATAATGATGAGAAAAATTTTTTTTTTCTTTTTTAACAACTTTAATAATAATAATAAAACAATATTATATTTTTTAATCAAAAAAATAATATTAAAAAATCGATTATTTAAAAAAAAACAACGCGTGATCTATAATTAATAATTAAAAAATAATAATATTGAAATCGATTATTTTAAAATGTAAAACATGTAATCTACAAATGATAATTAATAAATTACGATATGTCCTCCGGCGAAAATTGAATTCCCCCTCAACCCGGTACTACTCTCCCCTCAAAAAAGCATTTAGTTCTATATCTGACATTTCTAAGTCAACGATCTCCGGCGCTTTGGTTGGTCCATTGCTTTTTATTCCCGCTGGATCCAACGTCTCTGTCACCTAGGACGTCACCCTTGATATTGGCACCTCTTGTATCACAGGTCCTGTCGGGAATTCTCTTGTTGGCTGCCGCTCCAACTGTCTCCTCGGTCTTCGTGAACATCTGTCTTGTAAATGATCCCTTGATTGACAAAGATAACATGTTCTCGGGGGATTTCGTCCCCTTCTCATCGGGTTTGATTGGACCGCCGGCGGAGGGAATTCGGGTAAGCGTTCTTCGGTATTCTGCGTATACACACTTATCCTAATGATCATCCCCGGTAAATATATAAATTTGTGGACTAACATATTTAAATTATTTAAAAAAAATTAATTTTCAAAAAATATTTTAATTATTTTAGTTTTTTAAAAAAAATTATAATTTAATCTTCAAGAAAAGAACAACTCTTAAAAATTTTTTAAAAACAACGCCAATTTTTTTATTTATGAGACCCCATAATTATTTTGCCAAAACTTGCCACGCTCGTAAATTTTAACAACTCTTGTAATTTTTCTCCACAAACATCCCAAATTTTACATTTTTTCCCCTTGTGTTCAATTACAAACAACCCTTTTTTTACAACAACCTTGTTCACAACTCTTTTTACTCTACAAATTAATCAAAATTAATTTTCAAAATTTTTTTTTTTAAAGTTGTTCTTTTCTTGAAGATTAAATTATAATTTTTTTTTTAAAACTAAAATTATTAAAATATTTTTTGAAAATTAATTTTTTTTAATTAATTTAAATATGTTAGTCCACAAATTTATATATTTACCGGGGATGATCATTAGGATAAGTGTGTATACGCAGAATACCGAAGAACGCTTAGCCGAATTCCCTCCGCCGGCGGTCCAATCAAACCCGATGAGAAGGGGACGAAATCCCCCGAGAACATGTTATCTTTGTCAATCAAGGGATCATTTACAAGACAGATGTTCACGAAGACCGAGGAGACAGTTGGAGCGGCAGCCAACAAGAGAATTCCCGACAGGATCTGTGATACAAGAGGTGCCAATATCAAGGGTGACGCCCACGGTGACAGAGACGTTGGATCCAGTGGGAAAAACAAGCAATGGACCAACCGAAGCGCCGGAGATCGTTGACTTAGAAATGACAGATATAGAACTAGATTCTTTTTTGATGGGAGAGTAGTACCGGGTTGAGAAGGAATTCAATTTTCGGCGGAGGACATATCGTAATTTATTAATTATCATTTGTAGATTACATGTTTTTTATTTTAAAATAATCGATTTCAATATTATTATTTTTTAATTATTAATTATAGATCACGCGTTGTTTTTTTTTAAATAATCGATTTTTTAATATTATTTTTTTGATTAAAAAATATAATATTGTTTTATTATTATTATTTATTTTAAAAAAAACAACGCGTGATCTATAATTAATAATTAAAAAATAATAATATTGAAATCGATTATTTTAAAATGAAAAACATGTAATCTTCAAATGATTATTAATAAATTACGATAATATCTACTGAGGAAAAAATATTATTCTAATTTCTACAAAAATATAAGATATGAGTATGATTTGAAGAAATTGAGATAACCATTACTAAATAGAAAAATATAACTATTGTACCCTACTTCCTTTAATAAGGTCAATTGATATTAATCAAAGCCATATCTCCCCTCTAAAATTAATCGGAATATTTTAATTATTAAAATAAGCTTACGTAAAAATTAGAGGTTTTGATAAGCACGTTTAAATTATAAAAAAAAAATTGATTTTAAAACCTCGGAATATCTGCCCCTATATTTTGTCAATTGCGTCAATACCCTCTTGACCTTGTAAAACAGCTGCTCCTTGGAAAATACGTCTATATTGGCAAAATCTTGAACAGCCATCTCTTCTCCCATCTCGCTTCCACCCTCGCTTTCAATATCCGATTGGGGCTGTAAATTAATATATTTTTTTTAAAAAAAGGAGTGATACAGTATTTCCAAATTGAAGCGTTTGCGTTTTTATTTGGAAGGGAGAAAACAGACAAAAATTACCTATAAAGAAATAAGTAAAAAAAAAATCGTAATTGAATAAAGGAGAACGACATGCTACATCCATATTTTGAAATTTTATCGACGAGTTCAAAATAAGAGTTGATAAAATGATACAAATAAAGCTATAAGATAATTATCAAAATTTCGAAGTGCCCTTAATTGGTTACATATAGAAAGATTATTGATAAAAATAAATAATGGGAAGAAAAAAAACATCAGAACAATAAAAAATATATTGGGAGATGTTCAGATATAGTTATTTATACTTTGTATAGGCCTATAATTTTATTTTTAACCGATAGCCAAAATAATTATTAACCCTTATTTAAAAAAAAAAATTCAAATGCCATATTGAACCATGAATTTTAAAGAAGAAAAAATTGATGTACAAATTTCTAAACAGATAAGAGAGAAAGTGTTTAAAAGCTTATCTTTCTTTCCTTCCTTTTTTATTTCTTGATAACTAAGCTCCACCATACCTGTATTATTTAATGCCTTAGAATTTTACTTTTAAATAATATATTCAACATAAAACCGATATTAAATGATAAAAAAAGGCGTTGTTTGATTTTTTTCTAGCTTTCTTTTTTTTAAATTTTTTATTGCGGAATCAACTTTATTAAGAATAAAGATACTAGAAAACTATATTGCGACCTTACAAGTTACATTAGGTTTGAAAGGCAATTTTATGGCTTAAATTACAAATATAAAAATAATTTTACTAAGGGTTTTATTTCATTTTAAAAAACAAATTCTATCAGTATCGGTAAAAAAAATAATATTGGTGCTATTGGTTTATATATATACGTAATCTAAGCATATATATCAAAAACCATAAATCTTGGTGAAGTGATTTTTGCTTTGTTGCTAATCGGCGAAAAACTTAAATCGACATCCACCATAGGAGAAGAGGAAGCAAGGGTGGGCGATAATTGGCAATCATTTCGTGTAGGCCTGGGGACGTTAGATTGAAATGTGTTGTTCTCGATTTTTGAGTTAAGGGGAATAGTAGAAATTGCATTATTGCTTCTCGAGGGACGATTATTGGTGAGAACGTCACTTTTCCTTTGTTCCTTGCTAATAAGTTGTGATATTTCCTTAGTTCATTTTGATAAAATGATCCATTATTAGCCGACTTCAAAAAATAGTAGAATCCGGGTTCTCAGCCAAAAAAATTACTATTTAATATTTTATTTACACACCTGCTTGTTTGCATGCGGATATTTTTATATTCAAAATTATATTAATATTTTCAATATACTATTTATTTTTATTATTTTTATAGTATATTTCATACTTGCAATTTATATTTTTACCTTCTTTCTAATTATGTTTTTTATTGACTCGTTTTCTTTTCTATAAATATAACAATTCTACTTGCATAATTTTGATTCAGATTATAGCCTAGTATGCAATTATAACATATTTTCACAAACATTAATTTTTTAAAATTAAGTTAGGCATTTAAGTAGTTTTGTTAAACGACTCGATTTAAGCGGATTAAGGCTAACTATATTTTTATCCAAAAAAATAATTTTGCTCAAGCACAAGGTTTGGACATCTATTAAATAAATTTCGAGTCTCAGGCCAAATTTTTCTGGCTAAAAAATGAGCTAGCCGTTAATAAAATCGGCGCAAATCGTGCCATTTAACAATACTACAGATAAGTATCTAGAGTTCATTATATGTATTTAAATAGAGTTCTGGCTATTTTGGGACGATGCATGCAGTGCTTGTACAAATGATAACTAACCATGTCCTCCAAATATTTAACAAAAACGGGAGATGGGCATGTCCTCACCCAAAAATGAGATAACGGCATATTATTTCATGTTTATTATGAAATATAAATTAAATATTACATTATAAAAATTAAATTTGATATGCGAATACAAATGACATAACCCTTTAAGAATTTTGCAAAAGTTGCCTGACACAGTTCGTTAATTTCTTGCTTAACCCATTTAAAAAGTTTTCCAATTTATCCAGCCCATCTATTTAAATTTCACGAGAATTTATCTGGCCTATTAAATTTTTTGGCTATCATATTTTTAATATCTATATCTAATTATTTTTTCCCAATGTCAATTACGGCTCTTCAACCATTTTATAAATCAATTCTGTTTGATATCTATATTGTGTATTTGTAATAGATCATATCATGAATAACTTGTTTATTTTTTTGTGAATTTATTATATATAATAATGTTTTACAGTGTTGTGATGATTTAATGAAACATATTGACGATTAAATTAAAACCCATCCATATAAAAGTATTTTGTTTGCAAAAATAATTAAAAACATTATTGAAAATCCTTTTATTCCTCCTTGTGTTATTTTAATTATTTTTGCAAACAAAATATTTTTATATGGATGGGTTTTAATTTAATCTCAGCATGTTTCATTAAATCATCATAACACTATAGTTGACATGTTAAAATATAAAAAAATGAGCATATTGTAATAATTTTCAAAAAACGTTATTAAAAATTCTTTTGATATTTTTGCATGGATCGTATAGTAACTTGATATGAAAATTTTTTTTTAAAGATATTGCCCATTTAAAATAATACCCCACCCACTCTTTCGCGTGTTTTTTTCCACCTATGTTATGAATGGTTACATAGTTATAAGTTTACCCTATAAATATGTAGAAAAAATTTATGTGAAGTTAATAACATGTTGCCATTTACAATAAATGAAATAAAATATTACAAATTTTTGCCACTATTTGAAAACAAATGATTTTATTTATTTCAATTAACATATGCGATATATTACTTTGAATTCCGAAAAAACCCCTCGGAAAATAAACCCACAGAAAAAAACCCCCAGGATTTTTTTTCATATTTATAGAATTTACTTAAGGCCTAATAATATAAGTATATTTTTATTTGGATTATAATCATATTTATAATGTATAGGTATTAGTATTTTAGAAAAATATATTATAAAATATTAATAAGCTAAATCCTTTTAGGCCCTAATTCATTATTTAAAAATTACTCATATACCCTCCATAAAAAAATGCTTAAACAAGATAAAATGCTGAAGTTCAAATGGTACTGAGAAAAAATACGCTAGGAAAATAACCCATGTATTCCTTATTTTCGTAAAAATTATTTGCTATAGTAATAAACACAATGACCATCCTTAATTAAGATATTAAGTAGATTAAATTTTACAAAATTTTGTAATAAAATATATTTATTTTATTGGTAAATCATGATTATGTATATACAAATTTAATAATTTAGAATAATAAGTATGATTTGATATCGAATATTATCTATATGCCAACATTCAAATTTTCATCAGTATCCACCTCACATTCCATTTTTTTAATCAATACCCAGATGGGTTTATTCCCAACCAGATTAGAAAAACGATGCTTCCAACCTTCGCATTGATTATTTTTGTGTTCTTCATTGGATAGAGTGCTCTGATTCACGTTCCATTTCTGGAGGAAATCAAGGCTCAATTTGATGTGTTTGGAATTGAAAATTACTTCTTGTGACAAATTCTATTAATATGAAAAAAGGGGTTTTTTTCCTATTACCCTCTTTAATAGTCATTGAAAAAATTTCAGGGACCATTAGCAAATGGTTCTACTATTTGATATTAAGTTATCTTGTTCAGTAAGGAGTTACATTTTTGTTACTCTATAAGTTTCTTTATATAACCATTTATTGGGAATATAACAGGATGGTAACTCATACCAGCTGTAATTTATATACAGATGTCTATAAAAGTAGCATTTTAAAATCTATTTAACTAGAATATGTGGCTTACTCTTATTAGGGTTAAGGTTTAGCATTTTAAAAGGGTTTATAGAATTTAATATACCTAAAAATGTTAGATTTTGATTTAGTAGTTCTTAAGAAATTCACATAAAATTATTTTAAATTTTAGAAAAAATTTAAAAAAGATTATCAAGTTATTCCCAATAAATATGCTAGATGGGTTTAATTAAGTTGGAGATTCCCCATTTTTAAATTAGTGCAGATTTAAAGGTGTCGACTCTTAGTATGATTCTAAAAGAATATAAACATTTTTGGAATAAGCTTAAAAATCTAAATATGATTCAATACTTACTTTTTTAAAATTAGAGCATTTTTAGTAAGGGATTATTATAATAATCATAAAAAATTATATTTTCGATATTTTAAACTTTATTAAATATTAAAATTTTCTCAGCTCTCTTGATGAGTTTTATATATGATTCTATATTTATTTTCTAAATATGAGCTTTTCAAAAAAAAAATAATGTTTTTTCAATCACTAATTAGTAATTATTAAAAAATTTTTTTAATTATTTTACTCTGAATCACTTTGCAGTGATAAAGTTGTTAATTATTTTACAATATTTTATAATTTACCAGATGAGAATTCTTATTTTAGTCAAAAAAAATGTTTTTACTAATGTACTAGTTTTTTTTAAATTATAAAAACATTTTCTAAATCATATTGAAGAGTTAAACAGGAATGAATATTTGTGTGCTTTAATAGGAGATTATTAGTTTACAAGGATTCTTATTAGTCACACCCCATTAATCAAAATATTATTTTGATATTCAAAAAAATATATTTATAAAAAATGAGATTTACAAGACCCTGACTGATTATATATATATTGTCCAGTCAGCCCCCTAAAAAATATTTATGAATTGCCTGGCCAAAAAATTTGAATTTTCATGCCTTTTAAATTATTTATCGGGCCCATATAATATTTAAACCTGACATGGCCTTGGTTTTGCAGATATCTGATGTATGGTAATTAATATATAACAAGGATATTAGACAAAATAATGATGTTACTAACAATTATATAATATAAATTTCTAGAAAAAAAGTAGCCTTATTTTTAAACAAGATTTTAAAAATTTATGGCTTGATCTGTGCAATTTCTGAGAAAGAGCTATTTAAATAGAGATTTAGCATTTTTACAAAAAAAAATATTGCTAATCAGCCTTATGAAAAATTAAAAACATGATATCCAGACATATATAAATTATAATTAAGTTTTACTATATTATCAAGTGGTTCGATAAGTTGAGGTTGATTAGGAATTAATTCACCAGATTCTTCCAATTTTTTCTTTAAATTTTTAAACATTAATAATTATATAATCATTTTAATCATTATTTGTGAGGTCACATTTAGTTTTAAAGATATATCCTATTTTTTAAATATTAGGCATTCAAATTATATTGATTGAGGTTGATTATAGTTAGATGACAAAATCTAGAAATATAAAAAAAAATTTGGTTAATTTTGAGGATAAATAAAAATAAAATAAGATAAACATTAAAATAATTAAATTCTTGTTGGTTTATCATAAATTTAATTCAAAAATAAATAAGAAAATAGATTATTTTTCATTCTAAAAGTAAATTTTATTTTTCTCAATTTGAAAATATCATCCATCATTTAAAATCAGCTGATGAACTATTTTTGATGCTTTCAGTAGAAATTTTCTTTCAAATTTCAATATAATGCAAGATGCGTTTGAAGATAATGTGAGGAAATTGCGCACATTAAAACAAGTTAATGGTATATTAATATGTACTACACAAGGTATTGATTTGTTACATATCATTTAAAAATAATTTTTTAGGTCATTTAATCAAAAGCACATTTGATAGGCCTGCATCTTTATCATATGGCAAAAAAATCTACAATATAATAAATGAAACAAATAAAATAATGAATCAAGCTGATGGCATTTCTGATTTTAAATTTAATCGAATTTCATCAAATAATACAGAATTTTTGATAATGAATGGTAATTATATGTCAATTATTAAATTATATTATATATTTAGATAAAGAATATATAATGGCAGTAATTTATGACAAAAATAAGAAATAATTATAGAATATATATATAAATGATGCATATCCACAATAATCATAATTTAATTCTATTATAATCAAATAAAACATTATTTAATAAACTTGTGAATAGTTAACTGAGTAGAGTATTAATATGTAATCCTACCTATTATAAGAATCTGATGAATATATGTATGACTTAAATTGATACCACATTTTTTATAGATTCGATAACATTAATACCTGGGACTGATACTAATGTGAAAATAAATTTAATTGGTTTAAAAATTTTATAATTTTTAATTCAGGGTTGGGCCTAATATTTTAATTTAGAGTTATTATATTTTCATTATTAATAATTTCTGGTTGAATTTTAATTCATTTCATTCAATATTGCATCCTCTCAAAGGAGGTTAGTTATTAGCAGTGAATGCAAATGTCCTACTCTATAACAGTCTTTTTCTCTTGCCTTTAGTTGGACTAATCATTTGGTATAAAGTCCAGACCACTCTTTATAAATATTTAAATTCTTTATATATGACTAAATATTAAAATATTATATTTATTGTCCTAAACAAGCAACATCTATCACATATTAAATAAAATTTTTCAAATCAAGGGCTCACAACACAAAAAAAAAGAAAGAGGCTATCTAATAGACAATGCAATACATCAATTATAGGAACTATGAGTTAAAAAGCAAATTAGATATGTTTACCATATTAAGTTACTCAGATTAAATAGTACCTCTGAACAATGCTATTAGCAAATAAATTGTCAATTATTTTTTCATAGTGCTGTAATGTAATAGTATACACTATATAACTACTAGTGTGTAGTCTAATGCCCATATATTTTATTTTTTTTCAAATGTTTGCCATTAGAAATATAAGTGAATATCACTTAGAAGAGGATATTTTTTTAAATTTAAAAATGACATGAGCATATATATAGAGGGATTTATTTATAAGATAATTTTTTAAAAAAATTATATATTATTTAACCCCTATACATTTGTTTTTTTCCTCTTAATTTAAAAAAAAATTTGCTCATTTTTTAATGTATGATTTTGTGATTTGAGCTATAACAACATTTATAAAATGTCACTTCATTCATAAAGAATAGTAAAACAGATATTTACATATGTGCACTCTGTCACAAATAAATGAAAATATCCTTATATAAGTTATTAAAAATATTAAGGGCTAAGACCAAAATAGAATTTATGGGGGGGGGGGAGGGGTGTTCTTAACTGATTCTCGAGATGCCTAAAACAACCTCCAACTCTTGTTGAACAACCTTTCCTGTTCCTCCAAATTTTTTTTGCATATGAAACTAATATTGATTTCATATTATAAAGTAAAGGTTTTATTCCTCAATGATACTGCGATAACAAAATTTATATATATGGTGTATGACATTAAGTTAATACATACTTTGCTTTTGTATAAAGATATACAATAGTTAGGATGTGTTTTTTACATTATATTTTTATTTAATCATAAATTCTTTTAACAAATGTATTCATTTCAAAAGAGCTGAACGATTTTATTACTACATTTAAAAAGAATTGTAATGATCGTTTTTTGATTTGTGGATTATTTTATTTTTGCTTTATTTTAAAAGAATATCATTGAAAATTAATTATAGGGTATGTCATCAGAGGTGACACTCTTAAATTGTGAAAATAAAAAGATTTGATAGTTTTAAATATTTTATATTCCATCGATGGTTTCTTCCATGAATTCTACAAAAATTTTATAATCTTTCTTTAAACAATTTTGACAATGTTGTGTGCTCCCAGTAAAAGAATACTCAGGTTAACGATTCGATGCCCTGTACATCAAAATGATGGGGAAGAGGCCTATACTATAAAGGATATTCTTGGGTTATTTTTCCTATATTCGCATCAAAATTATTAGAAGGAAAATGGTTTTGATATACAAATGTATAAATTTTTATCCCAAATCCTGAATATAAAAAAGTGGTATGGTAAAATAAAGCAATAAATATACTCCAAAATTTGTAATAACTATAATGTCAAAAATATTTTTCGGAGCAAAATAAATTTCATAATAAAATTATTCGATATTTCCTTTATTCTGAGGAAAATAGTTAAACTTTCAAGTGCCAATATATTATTTTGGGTATGATTATTGAAGTAATCGAAGAACAGGTTATACATCTAATTATTCGAAAAAGTTTTTCTGCACTGCTATATTATCCAAAAATATAATTTGAAATAAATTAAAATCATATAGGAATTAATTAGTCTAAAAATTCATTTTCTGAAATATTATAATTCGTTGTATTATATTCGACCGTATTTGTAAATAGGACGAATCAGCCTGTCCTACTGACAAAAAACTCGCATTACTTAGTGAGAAGAATAAAACGGCGTCCTCCTATGAACAAAAAGCCGAATTTCTTAATACTTATTAACTAGGTAAAGTTATCCGTAAAATTATAAAGTCATTTATGATAATACGAAATTCCTATCCTAAGACCTAAAAGATCTATGCTAAACTTGATTAATCACGTATGGGTCACTGCTTATATATTTTGTATATATTTGGATAATGATGTTCAACAAAACGGCTGAGAAACAAGCAAATGCCTCATAATATTGTATATATGACTACTTATATGTTTAACGATGATGTTCAACCAAGCAGCTGGGAAAACAATAGCCCGAATATTTATGGAATTATAGTGGCTGACAAACCGTAGCGCAATATGAAAATCAAATTTTTAAAAATTATTGTATACCACAATGCATTTATATTATGTTATAGAATTTTTTAAATATAAGGAAGTCCGGTTAAAGGTGGGCGGGTTTTATTTTTTACATTTTTATTTACTCATAATATCATTTAATAGAGTTATGAATTTTGAAAGAGCTGATTGATTTTATTATTACATTTTAAAAAGAATTGTAATGAACACTTTTTGATTTGTGGAATTTTAAAATTATTTTAAAATAAAAATAAGAGAAAAAAGAATATAATTATATTGATACTTAAATATTTTATATGCCATCATTTGTTTTCTTTCATAAATTTTACAAGAGTTTTCATATCTTTTTTTACACAATTTTGGCATTTAAATGTGTTTTAAAGTACACAATGCTTCTGTGGAGTAAAACCTTCAGATACTTAAATATTTAATTTTTTCAATATCAGGAGTCAATATATCTTCAAATGTAGTGCAACTTATATTTTTTTTACATACGCAATTTTGACATTTAATAAATTTGTTAAACTCTAAAATAATTTGTTTAAAGGTATGCAATGTCCATGGAGTAAAACCGTTAGATACTTAAATATTTAATTTTTTCAATATAAAGATTCCATATATCATCTAAAATATTGCAAGGTAATAATGTATATAGCCGGTCTGGTCGGTGCAATTTTTCTCAAAATCATAGCTCCGAAAATAATATTATTAAAAGATCTTGCAAAATACCAGATACCTTAAACATACCTATAAATATTTACTGTTATATTTTTAAATATTTAATGATTTTTTCTCCAAAAAATGTTTTAGTAATAGTGATTTTTTGAACCGAGTTAGTAACCCCAAACACGTAGTTAGTCGGATCATCTATGAGTCTAGTATTAGGCTTCTTATGAGACACGGAAAAAAATTTCTTCAGATTTTCATTGCCTTATTTATATAATATTCTATTTACAAGTATAACAAATAAAATTGCAATTTTTATTGGCACAGGACCTATGCGCTCAACCTTTACATACTTTGCATTGAAACCAATCTTCAAAATTATTAAAATTATAGCTCTGATTACATATAAAACAAATATCTATAATAATATTAACAATATGTTTTTTTGATTTTTTATTCTGCTGTTTTAATATAAACTACTTCTTGAACGGGGATGAGATAAAAATCTCCTATTTTTTTAAACCTTTTTAAGAGGTAAACCATAAAAAGTTTTACTTCATTAAATGATATATTCACCATTTAATTTCCTCCTCATCATCAAATATATTTTGTTTATTATGTTGACCTATTTTGGGCATAGTGCCAGCCATTTTATATTATATGTGAATAATTTGTAATAGGTATTGTTCTAGGTATATGTTATTGTATTATAAATGATATTATTTTGATTATTATTATATATAAAAAAAAGTCAAAATTGTAAAAAAAAAATTATTATTAATTTTTTTGTTAATGAAATGAAAATCGTAGTATTATTTTTCGGAACTATCATAATAATTACTTTTTGGGTACAATTATTACTATCATAAAAGTGGTGCCGTTTTAACCACAGAAGAGACACTTGGCGAAAAATTTGACACAATATAAATATAAAAATATACGATCTTGGACCATTAGAATTAAAAAAAGAAATTTGAAATAAAAGTAAAAATTTTGTTCAAATGATATTTAATGTATTGTGTAATAGAGATTTTGGTAATAATTGTACTCTATCATTTAAAATTGTAAAAATATTTTTAATAAAATGATTAGTTTATTATAAGTTTGGGATTTAAAATAATTGTTAAATAAAAATAAAATTTTAAAATGCTGAATAGAAAAAATATTAAAACATACAATTATTTTCAAATTAAAAATGTTTCTCAATTAGGGATTTACTTTGAAATAGCGATAATCTTAATATTAAGGGTTATAGTTTGTTGGTAAGAAAAGGAATGGAAACAAAGATATAAATAAAATAAGAATATTTAAACAAATGGAAATGGAGAAAAATGGAAAAATATGAAAATTTATTAAAAACATGTGTATTCTGAAAAATGTTGGAAAAAAACGGAATATTAAAAACAGATATCTTTAGTGATTCTGAAAAAAAGAAGATTTATATAATATTAATAAACCAGATATCATTAGAGATTCTGAAAAAGAAAATTGATATGGAAAATGAAAATAGAAAGCGAAATAAAATAAATGGAAAATGAAAAAAAGGAGATTGATTGAAAAATTAAAAAAGGAAATGAGAGAAGAATGGAAATTAAAAAAAATGGAAAAATTGAGTTAGAAAAAAGGGAAAAAGAAATAGAGAAAGTAGAAATGACAGAAATAAATATAA